CAATGCAAGAAAATGGGAATGTCCTTTGAAAAATCTAATTAGTATTAAAGAGCGAAACATTCTTACCGTTAAACGTCTTAAACAGTCTGTTTCGGAATAAATAGGCTTAACTTGCTCTTCCAATCGTTTTTCTCTTAAACTTTTTTTTGTGAATAAACATCATGTTATGCATGGCATTTGGTTTGGGTAAAACGTGAAAAGCCACGTCCTAGGAAATAGTTTCAGCCAATTGGAGCGCAGCAAAGGAAGCACTAACCAATCAACGATCAATGAATCAGAAAACTCGCGCACGTGACAAAAGAAACATGGCACGGTATTGGATGATGTTTTGACCAATCAGAACTCGCTGAGAGATATAGCCAATCAGAGTGAATCTACGTGTTGCTCTTGATACTATTTCCGATCTGTGTTCATAAATCGCGGTATTAGCTTTTCGGCGCCATGGGCGTTTTAACTTAGAGAACTACCTACGCATAGTGAAACAATACATCTAGCGAAATCTCATTAAGTAGCTTAATTTTAACYAGTTTTAATGAAAAATACGCTTKCTAGGTGCGTAAGCCGTGCCATCTMATTTTGTCCTTATTCATCAGCMATCGCTTAAACAGAAAACGAACAAAGGAGCGAACTTTGATGAATTGCAATCAATCATTTTTGCACGGCTCATGGCTTGTCTAATTATAAGCTATATTAAAACAGTTATATTGGTGAAACTTGATTTAGTCTTACGGAAATTGAGACATAAAACGTGACAAACTGTCCCTTTATCGAGAAAATCTGTCTAAATGATTARATATAAGATGAGATAACAGCTTCTAATATTAAAGAGGAAATAATCAAATGGCCTCGGGTGGTACCATTGCAAGTCATTTATCTTCATGTGATATATCAGTGCCAAATACAACCCAACAGGGGATCATCTGGGGGTAGGTATTGTTACCTCTACCTCTCCAATAGTSTCCTTCACRGTTTCCTGCGCCATCTTGAAAGGTAGCCATGCCTTTGCATTGAAGCGAGACGACCGTTGAGCGTGCAATGATAGAAACCTTCTTTCACACCTAYASACAATTATTCACAGGTATCTATCATTGCACGCTCAACGGTTGTCTCGCTTCCATGTTAAGGCACGGCTACCGTTCAAGATGGTGCAGGTAWYCGTGAAGGAGACTATTCGTTAATGACATGGATCTCGATACATTTCTCGATTTGAACAGCGAGTGTTATTGTTTTCTAATTTTATATACCGTCGCACACCTGCTGTTGTCTAAAGAATCATTGACAAGATCAAAACGGATCAAGAAGAGCAACTAATATCATAGTGGCAACCGACAAAAGGAAGCAATATAGTTATGAACGTCTATAAGTAAGTTAAGAACATTTGATTTATAAGTTGATCAATGAATCTTCCAAGTTTAATATAGTTTGGTAAGGTAAACAGGCTGAATATTACTTGTAGAGGTACATATTTCCCTACCCATCCCCCCTGGGGATGTCAGTTTTCTGAATAATTCCATATGTCATATTCAAGGCAGAAAATAGTAAAAAATAACTTGCCACTTTCACAAGATTCCCGCCTGTATTCTAGAAACAATAAAAAAACCTTTTTAGAATTAAAATATGGTTAGGCTGCATGTGGTATACACCCACCTCGCGAGGTCAGTATACATTGCAGGTAGCGCGGGGCAATGTTGCAGAMATGGAGTCCTGCAAGTATCCTTGCTTARMCCGGCATATAATTTCATTTGTGTTCATACTGAACGGGGATTAATTTCCGTGATGCCCGTAATAGCGGGAGTGAATTTCGTGAGAGGTATATCCGTGATAAATCGTGTTAAAAGTGGAAAGTCTCGCTTTTGCTTGCCCTCCATTATTTATGTTTATACTAGAACGGAAATGGTATGAATACAGCTAGAATATTCAAGCAACGAAGCGTACTGCGACTKGAAAATATATATTATCATGCTGCAGATTAATGACTACAAAACAATTCAAAGCGTTTAAGGTAATACAGAAAAAATCCTAATACTCTATTTTTTTAAAACACGGATGTTTTCAATATAAATTATTTTCCGTTTTTCATTTGCTAGAGAGTTTATATTTAATTTCCGAGAAATATCATTTTTTCAATTTTTGTGAAAGGCGTTCACTGACTCTTTCACTTTAACAAGAAGTGAAAAAAGTGAGAGATTGTTGTAGTGGGAGGAATTTCGATGGGTGCAATTAAATGTCATTAAAGTGAGCAAAAACGAGTTCGAGTCAAAATCAAACTCATTAACCTTTCGAATATTGACGTTTGGAACTCAAAGTGTTCATCAGTTCTWAGTAACCYGTCTGGATCTGGATTATRAATTTTCATCTTTTCAGTTCTCTTCTTATTGACCTTAACATCTTTGTTTTCAATACCGATTTTCCTTCCGCCTTCTTCATATTTTGTCTTCGTTCTTCAAAAACTTCGTATCTTCAGTTTTCTCTTGATTAAAGTATATTCTGTTCTTCTTCATGGGCTCGATTCTGATTTTTTTTTCTTGTAAGTCGTCCTCTTTTTGATGTCAGTCGTGTAGTTGGACTCATTTGTCGGAAAGATTGTCACAAATACATAATTTTTATGAAGCCAAATCTACGTAATTGCTACCCTCTTCAAATATAGAACCTTGAACTTCAAATCTCCAATTCCAGAGTTCAAACACCTATGCATAGTGTTAGGCTATGCTTTKAACTGCAATTATCGACCACAATTATTATATTTTTGAGATCAAAAGTGTTTCCTGGCTGACTTATTGAAGTCCTTACTTGAGTTAAAAGGACTCTGTGAATTCAGTTACTGAATATTTATTAAATTTAAAGAGAGCTTAAAATCGCTTTTATGTGTCATATTAAATCAGAATTCATCATTTCATTTCAAAGTGAGCCTTTCCTGCTTTCTCTCTTTCATCTTTGAAAATGAAAAGTGAAAATAAAAGGATAAACTGTAACAGTCCAAAACAATTTAACCTTTGCTCAATATATATTATATCAATGCCACTTCATGCGCAAAACAATGCCAGCGCTCTAAATAAGACGAAAAAAGAGGGTTAAATTCTCAGCGAAATTATTGTTAAATACAAATCTTGTACTTACGTCTATGTTTGATTCAAGATAGGTTTTTGGCACCAGTAGTTTTGATAGTTAGTATTCCTCTTGGACTAGAGCTGAATCGGCGACTGTTCTTTTTATTGACACTAGCAGGTGTGTACTTGGAACAGCACAGATTGAATCAAGATAGAGAAGGCTTTGAACGTTTTGTTATGAAATACTTAGACATCCTGATTGGTCAATACCAGGTCCAATCTATCCGACAAATTCGAGAAATCGGCAATTATTAATAGCAGGTAGGAGCGCCAATCTGAAATGTTCTTTCAAAATAAAAAAAATTGTTTTGGTTAGTAAGTTCGCGGAATTGTACAGCCTCGGTATGACTAGCCACCATGATACCACAGTGCATAATGTGTTTGCAGTAAATTGATTTTATAGACAATATACACTCTTAACAGTTCACTGACAGGTGTATTAAGGCCTGGTCATGGCCTACGCGATGAGGAGGAACTGAACAGGAGAAGAATTGATGCTCAATGGAATAAGATAAGAAATGACATGTAATGTTTCCTCTGTCAGATTAAAAATCATTGCCTTCTATTTTTGCATGTTTTTATGATCAGATTCTTGGTCGATAAGAAAATTCTCGAAATAAGAACGTCTGTTTATTGGTGCTCAATWATCCCAGAAGGACGTGCGATAATCAATGTCATCAAATCATTAAAACTACAAAGACTTTATGTCATCGAATTATTTATCGTGAACTGTGGGATAATTATTATAAGGGTACATGTCAGAAAGAACTTCCTTGAGAGCAGATCTTTATAGATATGATAAAATAGAGATGAAAACGACTTGAAAACYCTTGAYTAAAGCCCTACCCAAAGGAAAGATTAATCAGTTACGATTCCCGCATCACCGTCGACACCATCCTGCACTTTCCCAGGGTGAGTGACTGGCTATTCATTTCTGAGACAAAAGAAGATTGATTTTTTTTTCCTTTTTGTGTATGATTGTTTTCGCAAATCCTCCCCCACGCAATCATAAAAGCGCAATTCTAACTCATATCAATTTTTAGATACTATAGTTTGAATCATAGAACTATGTTGGATAGTTAAGGCTAAATTATATCAATATTTTCATAACTTCCTGKTGGTAAGGAGATGTAATATAAAGTAAAGTGGTATTAACAGCAAGTTTCTTTACTTTCATTTTGATATGCTACAGTTGTTTATGATTGCAAAATATTAATTAAAAACATAATTACAAAACAACTGAAAAACCAGCGTATATGTAGAGATTGAAAACTTAATGAATGTTAGATTTGCGCTCAAAATAYGTTCTTCCCAGCTCTGTTTCCTGTGAGCGTCTTTCTTGCGTGGGGGCCGATAATATACGTCTTGCCCTGCCAAAAGGAAACGCGCCTTAAATAATGCATGAATTTTTTCCAATGCAAAGGTCAAGTTTGGGAGTATGCAATGAGAAAAGCGGGCTTCCGCGTYTTGTCGATATGTTTGAGAAATGCGTCTTGCTAAAAATAGATGCGTCCAGATAGAATTGAGATATTTTTATTTTATTTTCTAGGCGTTAGTGATCTTTTATCTTCTTATAGTAGCTATAAGGTGGCTGCGAAAAAAGTGTCGGCTGATCTCTGATATTGAAGGGACGAACGATGACTGCGTTGACCAATGATGCACATTGAACCAACTTGTAAATGAATGTAAAGATATGAATATGAAGACCGCATGGCACTATGATAAACACGATATAGAAATGAAAGAAAGTTGTAGTTGTAAATGAATGCCCTTGTAGTACCAATAAAATGGTATTAATTAATTAATTCTTTTTTGTTGTTATTTGTTATCTATCTGTTGGTTGTCATGTTATTATTATTGCTCTTGTTGTATTGTTGTTGTTGTTGTTGTTGTTGTTGTTGCCCTGGTTATAGTTTGACCCATAGCGAAGAGCCTGGGAACCACAACACGTTTCAAATGCGCATGCGTCATAGCTAAAAACAAAATGGCGGACGAAGTGGAAAAAACTGCGACTAGAACAACATGTGGATTTTTTATGGCGAGAAAAAATCGTTTCTGCAAAATGATTGTTGGAAAAGGAAAGAGGTATTGTGGTGAACATTCACATCTTGGTGGAGAAGATAAGGTAAAAAAAGAAAAATAACTAGCAAAGTTTAAATTYATAGATTGCTTGGATTTTGTGATGTGAATGCTGTGTTTCTTCAGAGTTAAGTTATGCTGCTAGATGTAACTCTGGTTTCTTACATATTGTTTGAATATAAATTTCAATTAGGCTTGTGGTCGTACAAGAATACCATGTCCTTTGGACCCAAAACAGTAAGTTTGGAGAGATTTTCGCTGTTAATAATATAGAAGAGACTACAACGTCTTATAAGAAAAGTTTTTTTCGTTTTGATTTTAGTACTGTATTTGAAGATCAGCTCCAAAAACATCTCAAACGCTGTAATGTTAAAAAGAAAACTGATGTGGTAAGGTCTGATTTATCGTCTGATGTCTCCTTTGTCTTTTCCATTCCTTTCTTACTACATGCATGTACTTGCGCTCTTTCATTCATTCATTTATCCATCCATTAAGATTTGTGTCTACATTGTTCATTATTTCAATTATCATTGATGCATGTGATCATTCTTTTATTTATTTATTCATTTGTTCATCCATGTATTTGTTTATCCATCTATTCAGCTGTTCATTCATTTCATTTTGTTATCCACTGATTTAGTTTGTTCACTACTTATTTATATTTATTTCATCCATCCTGTCCACTTCACCCATTAGTTTATTTATTCAGCTATGTCATTTTTTTAATGACACCAATCCGTCATTCCTTCAATCCATGAATTTCTTAATTTATTTTTAAAGATATATTTTGAAAAGAATATAAACTCTGGTTTRACAGACTACAAACCAACAGAGGGAGAAACAGTAAGAGACACATTGTATTACAATTACAAGACATACATGTACAGTAAAGCATGTTAAATACATTATTACTAATAATAATTAATATTGACCAATAATAGTGTGTGTAGCAATAAAATTATTTTTTTTAATGTAAAATAGACTCCATTACCAGATGTATCACTACAAACAGTTAAAGAGTTGATAAATAGAGTAAAATATATACATCAAGGTAAGTAATATTATTTTAACATTTCAACTTTTGTAATGCTTGTACAATCAATCCCTATTTGTCATTATTTGCCTTAAAGAAAGAGAGTGAAAGACGAAATAATCGCAAAGAAGAGATCTGGGGTTCATATTTCTAGTTTTTAGTATGGCATCAAAGCAGTCATTCTTGCTGCAGACTTTCCATTTAAACATTTCAAACCACCAACTTTTCCACCAGCTTTTGAATCTGAAGAGAATGATTGAAAACCAGTGATAACTAAACAATAAAGAGTTACATGAGAGGCATTGTTTTATTTATCAGATAATTGTCCAGAAATAAAAGAATCCATCTTATCCCACAGTATTTTTAATGATGAATTATCAAAAAGTGAATACGGTACTTCGGCATTGAAGCATCTTAAACAGCAGGTATGGGATTCCTGTATTACTGTAGATAGTTTATTAATATGATGATAGTAATGATAAAATTTAAATTATTGTAGGCGTCATTAATTGGTCATTTACAAAAGCTTGATCTCTTGAAGTCTGATACAGTGTACTTAGAATTTGGGGCAGGGAAAGGTAGGTACTGCAAATAGCAAGAAAACTATTTCATGTGAGAAGATCCTGTGTTGTAGCTAACTGCAACTTATCATGAAATGAGTTCTTTTTTCCTTAAAGTACTCTTGTCTCTAATAAAAATTTGTTTTAATTTGTATTTTAGGAAAGCTTTCGCACTGGATCCAACAAGCAATTCCTAATGCAAGCAACACTGAGTTTGTTTTAATAGATAGAGCAAGTAATAGACATAAGGTAACGTCCGTCTCTATTTACATCATTGTTTATTATTTAATTTAAGAATGAATCGGCTTTTGATTTTCTGATCAATCCTCTTATATTTAGTTTGATTCTAGTCATAAAAGGAATGATCAAGGACCTGACTTTAAGAGACTGAACTTGGACATAGAACATCTTAATTTGGGTAAGAAAAACTGTCAACCATTTGTAACTACTGAGGATTTCAACTGTTAAAGCATTTTGCACCTTAAACTGATCTTTGTTTGAATTTAAACAGGCAAAGTGCCTTTAGTTGGGAAATCCTCGAAGGATATTACTGCAGTAAGCAAGCATTTATGTGGGACAGCGACTGGTGAGTGCYCTTTTCCCAAGAGATGTATTCAGTGATAATGAATAATAGGAAAGAAAATTTAAGGGAGAAAAGTCACATAAAGCAGCTATGAAATGCTTTTAAAGTTATTGTTATTATTGTAATATTGCTTTGAGGTTTTTAGATATGATTATTATTATCTGTTTGCAGACCTTACATTGCGTTGCTTGTTTGAAACACTCAGTGATAAAGTTTGCAATGACAATATTAATAGCAGCAAAGATTCCTCAGACCATGACCAAAGGTAGATTTTACTGTAGTCACTGTGATAAAATATGAAAGAATGAATTAATGGATGGAAATGGGATTAAAAAATAAGTCATTCTCTCCATTCTCTCCTTGTATTAGCCATTCAAAAAGGTTAAAGAGTTCTCCTGATATCAAAGGAATAGCCATAGCCCTGTGTTGTCAYCACCAGTGTTATTGGCCMCATTATGTTGGGAGACCATTCCTTGAGGGACTTGGTTTTACTGCAGTAGACTTTCATCTGATATGCTGCATAAGCAGTTGGGCTACCTGTGGAATAAGACCACCAAAGTCCAATCCAGGTAAGGGAATGGTCATATTTTTCAATATGTCATCTACAATAACCAAAGCCAAGTTATGTCAAGTGCAAAAGAAATAATCAACAGCTACATGTATCTTTTTCTAATTGTACTTTTCCATTTTGTAAATTTGAACAGATGTAAAAGAGAATAATGAAGAAAGTCAAGCSAAAACAGAAAATATCACTGGACATGTACAGTATGTCATTATATTCCTTTAATGATTTCTAGTTTCTTAAGTCGAACATCCCTTGGTTTAATATTCCYGTAAATAATAGTTTTATTATTTTTTCCTGTAGGTCTTTAGGTCTGTCCATTGCAGAACGGGAAGATATTGGTAGACAATGTAAAAGATTGTTGGACCTGGGCAGGTTATGGTATCTAAGAACAAAGGGAATGTCTGCTAAACTCTGTTACTATGTAGACAGGTCAGTTTCTTTAGAAAACGTTGTATTATTAGCTACAGAAGATAGATTAAGAGAGGAAGATAGGTGATGAGAAAATGAAATGATGCAACATCAAGCTGATGCTTAAAAGTTTAAATATTTACACTGTTTATCAAGCTGGCGTAGAAACTGTGAACTGAGATTTTTGATTAATAAGAGATTAATATATTGCAGCCAATTAATAATATTACATTACAAAAATATCTTTTTATGACATTTTATTTTTCATTAATTTGTAGTCAAAATTATGATTTTCACATACAATCATGGCTCGTAAGCCTAGATTATTACTATTCCTATCTAAATCCAATTATAATATTTAAATAAATACTTATTTCCCCATAACCTTGTTTGGCTCATTTATTAAAACATGAAATCCATGCTCCTTAACATTCAAATTTKCTGTTTGAATGCTAAATAATGTCATCCATGTATTAGCGAAAAGAATCGTATTTTCAAATAATGGAAGAATGTTCTGGAGCATGCAAAAAAGCATACAAGAAATGCTCCATTTTAATATTTAATCTTGTTGAAAACTATGATCTATAATGAAATTGTAAAATATTGTTGAAAATATATTGCAATGGATTTTCTATATAAGCTTTTTGTAATTATTATACAATATATTCAGAAATATAGACTATCTAGAGAACAAGAAAAAGAAACATGGCAGCAAACTTTATCAAGGTGCAGATTGGCCCTATTTTTCCCTTATTTCACCACAATGACAGAAGACTTTTCTAACAAAATACAACCGTCATCATAGTTTTTTGATTAGAGATTTTTTTTACTGCTTCTTTACTATACAAAATGTAAAAGAGTAGATTTGACCTTGAAGAAAGTCCTTTTTTGGATTTSTTCAGAAAGAAAAAGACAAACCTTTACTGGATTTGAAGAAAATATCCAGATAAACTAGAAAATGTTTTATTTTTGTTTGTTTTTAAGTATAAAAAGATTGACTACTGGGCTGGGTTGTTCAAAGCCTGATTAACGTTTATCAAGGGTTAACTGCATGCATATGTTTTTTAAGTGTTAATCCAGGATTAGCGCAAATTGAGCCTTGAACAACAAGGCCCTCGCCATTACAGTTGCAAGTGTCACGTGATAACTTTTTTAAGATTTTATTTTTTTTATAATGCATAATAGTGTGTGTCTGAAGGTTTTAGACAAGTATGATCAGTCTGTATCTTGAGCTGTGAATTAAAACAGTCGGCATCTCCAAAAAAGGCAGAATGAACCAGTCACTGATATGACAATAATTTATTATACAAAAACCTCCCTAACTATTAGAAAAACCTAACTTTAACTACTTTTAAACCCTTTCTTAATTAATATCTGAAGTGTGGAGTATTGAGATGCAAAACCAGAGGCTTTTGATGACCTGCACATCTCCCATTGTCGATCTACCAAGTTTGGGTCGCAAACAACTGGATGGTAGACGTGAATAAGTCCAGGATCAGCTCCCCGAAAGACATCTATGTTGTCATTTTTTATAAACTTTTCRAAGAGYTCTACGTCTTCAAGTCCCCATCCTCGAATGGTCGTATCAAAACCTCCAACCGCTTTTAAGTCACTTTGATACATACACACAATCCCAAAGGCATAAGTCCGCCAGAAGCCAGCATTTTTATCCAAATTAAAGTGGTTTCTTTGCTGTKCATTCATGTAAGTTGCTTTAGGATCAAACTGACTAAAAACCATTGGGTAATAAACCTGTTTTCCTAGAATTGTATTACTACGACATCGGTTTAGGAATTCTCCATCGAAAAGTAAATCAACGTCACAAAAAAATAAAAGAGAAGATGTATCAAACTGATTGGCGCCTAAAGTAAGACCCAGACCTCTAGAGAAGTCTCCAAGAGCTTCAATCCATAGTAAATCAGCTTCGGGGTAACGCTTGCGGTATTTTTCCAACAATACTTTATGTTTACTTGGTTCTTCTACTGAGGTAAAATAAACCACCAATAGCTTTACATTCTCATGTTTTTGAAAAACAACTGTTTCAAAGTTTTCCATAAATCTCACAAAGGTTTCATAGCGGCCAGCAAGTGGGAGGATAAAATTCACAGCAGTAGATGATGTAACRGCAGGCTCAGCATGAAATACCAAGTTACCAAAMGGCTGTTGAAGATACGCATGATGACGTACATGAACTGTCATCCTTCGGCGATTGTGSCCAAGATGCCGATGATATTTCATCAGCATATCAAGCATATACTGCGCACCGTAAAGAGGATGTACTCTGATGTAACCATGGTTTAGTTTCATAAATTCTAAGCTCCGATGTAATACAGTACGTGCCTCGTCATTGATAAGCCCCATTGTCTGTCCCAGTACTTTRTTCAGGCCACTCTTCAATGGATCYCTCATTCCTGTTTCAGGTGGCTGTAGKGTTACATCAGAGTAAAACTTTGTTGCTGTAAACATATCCCATGATTCAATGTGGTCATGGTGCAACTGCGAGTGAAAGTCTCTTATGTCTTGAAGATGTATTTTCCTTTCTGTGGACAAACTATGGCTGCTTAAATTCAGCAAGACATCCATATTACGTAGCACTCGTTGGAGCTTCACTGCTTTGTGTTGAAGGTTTTGAATTCCCATTCCCATGAAGTGTGAGTGCAGTCGATACATGTAAGGGGGATTCTTKATAGGATGGAGGGTTATTGCTTTGCGCACTGACTTTGTGTCAAGGTTGCCATGGTAGGCTTGAGATTTACTTTGGTTGTGGTAAAATAATGCTTGCATCTGAAAGAAGCCAATAAAATAGTTTTGGACTTTACCATGCTGTTGTTGTTTTATAGTTAACTTAAAATCTCTAAACTAGTAAAGGTCTTGGTTTTATAAACTGCAATTACATCATAAGAGCTAGTTTTGGTGACTAGATTTTGATGATTAAACTTTCTTTATGTATACCAAGAGATTTGTGTGTAGCTGTGAATTAAAATGAATTTGAAATTACCAGAGTAAACTAGGGATTTTAAGCTAAGCAAACATCAATTTAAAAAGCTTTTAAAATGCMATGTTATTTCGTGTAAACAAGTGAGATAATGTCAATGATATCAAGAAAGAGAGTTGATATACAAGGTTTTCACCTTTTCAGTGAAACAAATTATATGACACTGGACACCTTGGAAACCTGTTTGCATTAACCCATAGTGCGCACAACCTGGCAGAGTATAGCTTTCTCAGACACTCGAAATTAAGTGTTTAACTGCCATCATTGACATTGGTTGACCCGCAAAGAAAGGAGTCACTTGAATTGCAATAAGTAATAGACAGCTGTCATTCAAAATCCAATGGGTAGCATTGTTTTCAAACCAAATAGCATTAAGACGAATGTAAATAAAAGTTTTTGAATGACTGCAGGAGATGATTTTGGTGGAATAGGGGAGGGGGTGGGGTACAGATTTGCCGTCTTCTAAATATCACTACATTTATATAAAGAGGTTTTCATTAAGTAAACCATAGTGGGTCTCTACAACAAACTTAACGAGTTTCCTATCAATTAATTTATAATACTTTTTAAAAAATCAGTACCTCAAAAGACCAGGTACAAGAAACTCCAACAAACTTCTTGATRCACCGTCCGACTTCCACGTCTTCGTGAGTTGTGTATAGATTTTGCAGACAATGCTCGACATGAGGWACCACTTTCTTTAGAACGCTTCTGGTCATAATCACCCCTGGGCCTCCCATACAAAAGTTATCTCCGTACCCTAACCCCAAGAGGCCTTTCTCAGCTTTTGCACCTGTTCCAGCTTGGCCTACATAAATATCTTGCGAACTGTTGAGCGAATGTAGAAATTCAGAGAGTTTATTRCTTCTGATGTAAACATCGTCGTCGGATCTCATAAACCATTCATACTGGTCRATATAGTGATCGTGCATGTATTTTAACATCATCAATGACTTGCGTTGTGGTGGATACGAATCGTCAACACCAGGTAGACTAACTATGGGTAACTCGGGGTTATCTTTGGACCCCTTACTAGAGAAAAATTGTAATTTCCCCGGCACTTTTTTGCCCCACGTTTCGTAAACCGCTTTGGCGCGAGTGTCAAGGAATTTCTCTGCAGTCATAACTCCAATGAAGACAAGTTTTCGCATGCCAAGTTCTTTGGCTATYTCTCTTGGTCTTGTGTCAGTTTTTAAATTATAGATTTGGCAACGGTGAGTTGGAACAGGAAGGATTTGTTGCCTTAGGATAAGAGCCACGGTAAAACCAAAGATCAAGCCACCGAAGAGAGTAAAGACACCTTTGATACTCATATGGCGGGTTTTCATTGTGTTGGCAAACCTAATCCTCGAGTTTTCACTCTTTGTTGCGTTATCAAACAGTTCCTTGACTTGCTAATAATCGTTTACTTGATATTGTTTCATTGGTGTCGTTTTGGAGCGACGGAGAGAAGTTTTGAAATTTAAACAGCTTCGTTTACTTAGGGACTTCATGATGTCCTTGTCTTGACGTCACAATACACGTGCACAGCATAACTTTGCTGCTGCTCTGTTGCTTAGCAAAACCACTTTGCTCTTTTTTCTTGGATTAAAGTTTTTCCCTGATGTTTCTTCTGTCAAATGAACCATGGATTATTTCACAAGTTACCTGATTTGTTTAGTAAACCATTTTATGTGGTGGATTCAAGTTTGACTCGATCTTTTCTTTGCTACACTGGCTGGTGATAAATAAATTATGAAAGATTTGATTGGTTGTTCAGGATTTTACCTGCTAGGGTAACGAGGTCTGGAAGTTCGCTACCCATGAATAGATTCAACAAAACCACAGGGAATCAAATAACAGAAAAAGATTGAAAATACAATYAAAATTTGTGAAMAAAATCTTAAACTGCTGGGTTTTTTTTTCAAGATGTGCGATGAAAATTTCATTCTAAAGTATATATTTTAGTATTATCATTTATTTATTTATTTTCTGATAAAAATATTTTTTCTTAATAATTTTCCGCCAATGTTTTGAAATGATAAGTACAATTAATGGCATTGAAGTGGATTCTCCCATTGACATTCAAATGGCTTTTCACCACGCACAGCAAATTRCCTCTATGTATAATTCCACGAGAGATAATTAAAATTTAATTCAAATATTYTCCTTTATTAGATACATCTTCTTGTTACATTCATGTTTTCGTTTTTCAATGCTCGCTTTTCAGACTTTGAACTTTAGGCAACTTCCGGTGGAAG